GTAAAAATTGTATTGGAAGTCTAGCTCTATATATGAGGATATACACATATACTTTTTTATTTTTTGCTGTATTATTTACATATGCTTTATAATAGCCATTTTCACTGCAGAATTCTAATGGTTTGAGCAACATATAAGCTGTGTAATTATCATGAAAAGTCCATCAGTTCAAACATTCCTCTCACCATTTTGAGACAAGTTCTAACCCTACCTTTGGCTCCTGAAAGCCACTGTTTTATGTTTTCTATTGCCAGCATCTTGCAATTTCAATAATGTATCTTTGCTATCTCATTGATATTACCATTATTTACATAAATACTTTCAAGATTTCCATATCAGTGGAATTATACAGCAAACAGCTTTTTGAGTTTGGTCTCTTTCACTTAGCGTTTTACATGTCTCACATCTGGCATTCATGCTGAGCTTTGAACAAGAATTACTCCTGTATGCCAAGATTTGTTCATCCAAACACTAGGTGAAGGTCACTGGCTTGTTTCATTTAAAGAGTAAAGGAATTATCAATAGAGCTATTATAAACATTCATATGGAGTTTTTAATGTGGACATAAGTTTTTGTTTCTCTTGAATCAGTGTCTGAGTCTTCTGGTCAGTGTTTAGCTCTGTAAGAAAATGACAGACCACTTCCCCAATGACCACATACATCACCTTTGCTTTATCAGCAGAACCACTGTGAGAAAGTTAGAATTGCTCTGTATTCCTGCCACCACTGGGCATTGGCAATTTATGGTGTGTGTGTGTTTCTGTGTCTATGTGGTGTGTGTGTGTGTGTGTTTGTGAATGTGTGTATGGTGTTTGAATGTGTGTGAGTGTGTGTTTCTGTGCCTGTGTGGTGTGTGTGTGTGTTTGTGAGTGTGTGTATGGTGTTTGAATGTGTGTGAGTGTGTGTGGTATGTGTGTGTGAGTGTGTGTTTATGTGTCCGTGTGTTGTGTATGTGTGTGTTTGTGAGTGTGTATGGTGTTTGAATGTGTGTGGTATGTGTGTGTGAGTGTGTGTTTCTGTGTCTGTGTGGTGTGTGTGTGTGTTTGTGAGTGTGTGTATGGTGTTTGAATGTGTGTGGTATGTGTGTGTGTGTTTCTGTGTCTGTGTGGTATGTGTGGCGTACATGGTGTGTGTGCATGGTATGCATGTGAAGAGAGAAACAGTCATCTCCCATCTCACCCTTTCCCCAGTCTCCTGAATCCCTGCCAGCCACTAATCTACTTTCTCTTTCTATGGATTTGTCTGCTCTAGATAACTCATATGACTGGCTTTGTGAAGTGACTTCACTTTGCATAATGGTTTTGTGGTTCACATGTTTTATACCAAGTATCATGACTTCATTCCTTTTTTTATATAAATGTATTAATACATCAGCGTGTGTGTATGTGTGTGTGTATACATGAAGGTCAGAGAACTACTCAAGGGAGTCAGTTCTCTCTTTTGAAGTGTAGGTCTAGGGATTTAACTTAAGTCTATGGCTTGATGGCAAGTGCCTTGATCTGCTAAGCCATCTCTCAGGCAGCCCCTTTATTCCTTTCTGTGGCAGACTTCTATCTACTTGTGTGAAGACACCACCTTTTGTTTACCTATTCATATGATGGTGCACATTTAGCTTGTTCCCATCTTTGGGCTATTGTGAGCAGTGATGTAATAATTCTTCCTGTATAGGTTTTTTGTTTGAACACCCATTTTCAATCACAAGTGGAAATACTGAGTTGTATGGTAATTCTCTTTTCATGTATCATTGAAAGGAACCATCAAACTATTTTCCACTATAATAGCTGAGCCCTTTTCTATGAACTGGCAGCATGTGATGATTTCAATTCCCTTTCCTTTTTTTAATCTTTTCCATTTTCTTTTTTGAGAAAGCATCTGTGACTTCATTTAGCTCAAGCTGGCCTTCAACTAACTATATAACCGAGGTTGGCTTTGAACTCTTGATCCTTCTACCTCCAGCTCCTGCGTGATGGAATTATAGTAACATGCCATCGCCTAGGTTTCCAATCTTTTCACATCTTTAACAGATTTTATTCTTGGTTTCTAGTTTTAAAATTTTTATTGTATTTATTGATCTTTAGGGGCATGGGATATTGGGGGTGGTCACATATGCCATAGAATATGTATAGAAGTCAGATGACAACTTGAAAAAGTTAGTTCTTTCATTGTTCCCCATGAGTTCCAGGGATTGGACTTATGCTGCCAGGCTTAGAAACTTTTTGTCCATTGAACCATTTTACTGTCACTATAGCCATTCCTCTTTTTAAATGAAATTATATTATGGACATCCACGTATGTGAAGGCTATTCTTGGTTGTCATCTTGACTATATCTGCAATTAACTAAAAACTAAGCAGCTGGGTAACCTGTAAGGAATTTTTCTTAGTTAAATCATCTGAAGTGGGAAGACTCACCTTTAATCTTGGTCATACCTTCCACTGGCAACCTATACAAGAGATATGGAAGAATGAAGCTTTTTATTTGTTTGTTTGTTTTCCTTTGCCTGCTTTCTCTTACTCTCTCTGGCAAGTTCAGTCTTTCACTAACATTAGAGCCTGCTTCTTTGGGATTCTGATGTATATTCAACATAAGTCGAGAGGGACACCTATCTTCCTGGACTGAACAACTGCTGGATTCTTGAACTTTCTTTTGGAGAAAGCCATTGTTGGATTGCTGGACCACAGCCTTGTAAGCCACTCCAATAAATTCCAAATTCTGTCAGTTCTGTTCTTCTAGAGAACACCAACTAATACACAGTGGGTGTAAAATTGTATCTCATAAACAGATTTTTGTTTCCCTATTTACTAATGAGAGTTTAATGTCTTTTCATGTGCTTGTTAAAAAGTTGGTTATCTTTATCAGAGATGTCCTGGGAACCTTTTAAAGGTCCCTAAAAGCATAAATAGAACTCCTCAAATAATCAGAAAACTTATCCAATGGATCTGGAAAGATTTGAAAGGGAAGGTCAGAAAGAGCCATCTAAAATACTAAAAACAGGACTTCATGGATTAAACATTTCCATCTTCTAGAATCTCACCTGTATCTCATGGTGCAGGATCACAGAGTTTGTAGATTCACAATCCTAAGAGATTTATGTATAAAATTAAAGAAAAGCCAAGAAAGACTAAAGTATAGGTTAAAATCAGACTGGGGATATAGTCTGATTACTGAACTATATTTTTTGGAGGAGAGTTTACACACCTTAAGCAGAGACAAGATTTATTCAAAATCAAAGGATGGATTTTAATGTCCAGAACTAATGATTTGAAGTTTTCGATTGTTGATCACCCTGTAATGAAACTCCTGAGGAATATAATTAAAAGGAAATGCACGTACCAGGCATGTGTGTGTAAAGATGAGTATTGGGACAGACAAGGGTCAGGTATAAAAAAGAAGTTGCTAGAGATCATTTGAATCTTTCCAAAAGCAGAAGAGCAAAGGCATCAGAAAAGGTAGAAACACCACCAAAGACAAAGTCCAGGACTGTATTGTGGAAAATGTTCCTTAAAATCTGAAATCTCCAAGAGCAGATCTTGTCTGGAAACACATTAGGCAGAATCACCATTTAGTCACTAATTCCCTAGAACCGTGGATGTGCTGGTAGCTGTGTGGGTTGAGGAAGATGTCCAGTACGATCCTGTGAACAAAACACGGAGAACAAAGAAGTTATTTCTGAGCAATTTGCCATGGGGGAAAGAAGTTCATCAGAAAAGAAAGTAAATAATCTGCTCTAAAAGACATAGCAATGGTGGGAAAACTAAAGAGTCCTCTCCCAGCAGGGCAGAGAGGGGGAATCTGCGAGAGGAAAGGAACCCTGGGCTTATGGAGGAAATGAACTGAAAAGGTTCAGTTATCCCCATAGAGAGGAAGAGACTTGAAAAACAGAGGCTAAGACTACCTCTGTTAATGTCAGAGCTCTCTGGCAAAGGAGCAACATGTCAAAAGGAAGTTTCAGAGAGAAGAGGGTATATGCGAATGAACTGCACGGCAGTATGTAGCACCAAGAGAATTTCTCCTAGTGAATTTGAGATTCTAGGTCACAAACTCCAGATCATTAGCACTGACAGAGCAGCATCCTAAAGAGACTACCCTAGATGACCGGTCCTCTGTCTTTGTTGGGCTGTTCAGAAAATACTGAAACTGAGCAGAATAAGAAATTTGTTTCCCCTCCCTGGGAGATCCTTGCATCCCCCCTTAAGCCCTCCTTCTTACTTAGTGTCTTTGGGTCTGTGGACTGTAGCTTGCTTATCTTTTACTTTACAGCTAATATCCACTTATAAGTGAGCACATACCATCTTTGTCTTTCTGGGTCTGGGTTACCTCATTTGGGATGATGTTTTTCTAGTTCTGTCCATTTGCCTGCTTATTCAGTCTGGATGTGACGGTGTATGCCTGGTCTTATTGTAGCATGCTATGCCATGTTAGGTTGATGTCCCTGGGAGGCCTGCTCTTTTCTGAGGGGAGGCAGAGGGGGATGGGGATGTGGGTGAGAGAGATAGGGGAGAGGTAAAGGAGGTGAAACTGCACTAAGGATGCTTTGGATTTGCTTATGGACTGGCTTGTTTTAAAAATCTCCTGTGGGCAACTCTACTGTTGTGGAATATTGGTTTAAGATGTGTTACATTCATTTATGCTGTGGAATATTTGCTTAATGATGCAAAGATGTGTTGCATTTGTTTAAATCTGTAAAGCTGTGTTGCTTTGCCTGTCTAAAACACCTGATTGTTCTACTGAAGAGCTGAACAGCCAATAGCTAGGCAAGAGATAGAAGAGGTGTGGCTGTCAAGCAGAGAGAATAAATAGGAGGAGAAATCTAGGCTCCAGAGAAAAGAAAGAGGATCCAGAAAAGGAGGAGAGGACACCAGCAGCCAGGACCAGCCAGGACCAGCCAGGACCAGCCAGGACCAGCCAGGACCAGCCAGGACCAGCCAGGACCAGCCAGGACCAGCCAGGACCAGCCAGCACCAGCCAGCACCAGCCAGCACCAGCCAGCACCAGCCACCCAGCCAGCAGTGGAGTAAGAAGGAGAGGAAGATATATAGAACAATGAAAGGTAAAAAGCCCAGTGGTAGCATATAGTTAAAAAAGAAATTGGATAATTTAAGTTAGAAAAGCTGGTTAAAAACAAGCCAAGCTAAGGCTGGGGCATTCTTAAGTAAGAATAAGTCTCTGTGTATTTATTAGGGAGCAGGGTGGCAGTTCCACAAAGAGTAAAAACAAACAAACAGCAGCAACAACAAAAAAACCTGCCTTCTATACTACTCAGGAGTAATCTCAGGAAAAGTCCCAGCAGTTGCAAAGCTACTATTGGTGGCCAAATGTGCAAACCCGAGAGTAGCATTTCGTATATACCTAGGATCAACTTCCCAGAGAGAAAGCTGCTCTCCAATAACTCAAGGATTAAAAAAAAAGTTGCCTTTTGGTTTATGAGCTGCTGTAGTCTGGGACTCAGAAAAACTTCTTTTTGGCTCCTAATCCTTCTTTGCATGTGGGAAAAATTATCAGAATCATAATCTTTATAGTTGGCCTCTCCAGTCATTTTTATTCCTTCCTCTTTCCCAAAAAGGAAGATCAACACATTTGGAGAGCGAAATTTATTAAGGAAATGAAAAGAAATTAGCTGGGCTCACACCAGCCCCACCAGTCTTTGTTGGAAGTGAGCTGAATGTCTTTCTCCAGTCCTCTAGACTGTAAGTCTTAGACTTTGTAGCAGTGATTCTTAACACGTGGGTCACTACCCATCTGGGTGTTGCATGAACCTTCACAGGGGTAGTGTAAGATCATTGGAAACCGCAGATGCTTACATTGTGATTCATAATGGTAAATTACACTTCTGAAGTAGCAACAAAAATAATTTTATGGTTTGGCATCACCACAGCACGAGGGACTGTATTAAAGGGCTGCAGCATTAGGAAGGGTGAGAACCACTGCTCTACAGGAGGCTTCCCACACTGACTGGCCCCAGTTTGCTCAAATCTGTGTGAAGATGTCCTAGAGTTCACACACAGAACAATCAAACAACCTCTATTTGGATTGTTTAAGGCTAGAGGAGGATTGCAAATCTGGGTCTGCAAGCTTGAACAGTGCAGATGATGGCTTTTAGTCTTCTATAGTCCAATTGACTACTACCATGAGTAGAGTTTTATCAGATTCTGTTTGTGGTCCTGGATTTTCAAATTGGACTTCTCATTGTGTGTTTCTCAGCCTTGGAAACTACTGTGGCTTTGCTCATCACTTTATTCCTCTTGTAACAGAAAAGGAACGCAACTGACCGAGGTCAACCAAGTGCTAGGAGTGTTGTTCTTAATAGGTTCTAGAACCTGAACACTTGCCACTCTGCCAAACCAGATTTACTTGTTGCACATAAGTCTCAGTACCAGATCTGAACATTTGAGCTTTCCATTGAAGTAAGCTTGATAGTGTATTATTACTTCTTTCTTCTTTCACACCACAATCCGAGTATTGGGATGAAGGCAAGGTCTACCAGCTGTATTTCATTCTGGCTCATGCTGAGGTGCCTCTGATGAGAGCCTGTGGGAAAAGCATTTCCTGATTTTGGAGTTTGAAGTTTCTACTTCTGTAAAACACAACACTTAATGAGGAACTTCAGTTTTCTGACTGCAGTGACAATATGTTTACTGTCAAAATGAGATTGCTGCACATGAGAGGAAGCAGTGAATGTTAACCAAGCCTTCCGAGTCAACCTGGTCACCGTACCTAGTCCTCTCCTTAGTGAACTTGCTGTGTTTAAGGCTTATTTTTTGGCATCAGGCATTGTTAATTATCCTTTCAAGCATAAGCTCTGAGTCGAGTAGTTCTGTCTGAAAATAACTAAGACAACCTAAGCAACCTTAAGTCAAAAATGCAAAATAAAGGCAGGAGATTCTAAATTAAGGCTCCTGCAATCCTTGAAATCCAGGAGCAGAGAGCACAGCAGGGTCTCAAAGGACTCATGGAGCCAGGGGCTTGACAAACATTTATGACCAAAGATACACATCAGTTCATGGCCTGGGTGTTCTTTCACTCAGCTGTTTCGGGTCTTTCCTTTTCTCTGAAGGTACAAATAGGGAGATAGTTGGGAAACTGTGGTGTCAAACTCCTGGATTTCAAATGATACTCCCTTAGCAATGCCTCATACAAACTGAAGCATAAGGCTTTCCCTCTTCAAACTGTATTTGTTTTCATTGACTTATTGTGTATGTATGTATAGGCATATGTAGAGGTAAGGGGACAACTCTTGGGAGTTGGTTATCTATTGGCATTCAGAGTGATCTGGAAATTGAGTTCAGGTCATTGGACCCCTGTAAAAGTGCCTCTACCCACTGAGCCATCCTGGCAGCCTGACTCTGGTTCTTTATAGTGAGCTTCTAGAGAAGTTTTAATTTTTGTCACTCAAAGACTTGACTTATATGTGTATATATATATATATATATATATATATATATATATATATATGTTTTGAATCATTTTTCTTCACAAAGGCGGCATCTAGAATTGTGTATGGAGTAAGTAGGCAAACCTCCTAAAATTATTCATTGCAACGGAAGGCATCCTATGCAATGAATTGATCATTTCTAATCTTTCTGGCCATGTTGATGCGGTTCAAACTTGTAGATGAGAAGACCTGGGGTGCTGCCTACATGAATGCTGAATGTGAAATACACAGGTGCCTGGGTGAAGTAGCCTATTGATTCTGTATTATCAGAGTATGGGGCCTGCCACAAGTTTGGAGAATTAAATTTATATGAGAACACTGAGTTCTGCTGTTACATGACTTTATCCATCAGCTAAACCAGATGTCATTAACAAACATTTGCGGTACTGGCCACATTAAATGTGGGCAGTGTGGCCAAACTTAGAATAACAGTGCTAAAACAGATGTCACTCATGTGCCCTCAGGGAATACTGTCCTTTGTCAGAAAGCAAATGTTAACATGTCCCAGACTAAGGTGAGTGCCTTGGGCATGTGGACAAGGTGCCTGATGCTAGAAAAAAAAAACGATTTTGATCATCGAGTTAAAATATTTTGACCAGTTTTATCAAAGCATGTTTTAAATGCCAGCCCCTCTGCCGCCTGGGTTCTATCAGCTGTCCCTTCTGTTTTCTATACTAATTTTAAGGAGTAGTTGATCTTTAAATTGTAAGTTTTGAATTCCCAAACCTAGGGATGGACTAAACATGTAATGCAGTGGGTAGCAATTTCTTGGCAGGTGATACTTTGGCTATTTTGAGTCATGGGGTTCTTGACCTGAGCTACTAAGCTGGTTCCCAAATGGGAGCCTGAAGCATTGCTGCTGGCTTCTCTCCCCACCTCCAGACACTGCAGCCTTCCCTTCCTCTATCACTCAGTCACGTGGTTCTGTGTAGATGACTGGAAACTTGGCTCTTTGCCCTCAGCTGATGCCTTGGAAAGTACTCCAAACCGACAGGCAGGGAGTGACATCGACATATCCTGCTGTTATCTAAGAGCTTTCCTGAATGACAGGGGGATAAGAAATCCTGAACTGCAAAAATAAACTCATTAGCATCATCGAATTCCACAGCAGATAGCTTCACTTTCTCTTTGCATTATTAATGAAGGCAAGAGAGACTCAGCCTGAGATTTTGATCCAGGAAATATCAAGGATAGCCGAGGTAAACCACCTTTATCTCTCTGGACCTGGGCTGCCCACTTACATCATTGCCATGGGGTTCCTTAAGCTTGCTAAGGGGGTGGACAAGATACTAGCTAGGCATGGCATAATGACAGGCCATGACACATTTCCCTAGGCAGAGTTAAGGGCAGGTATACAAATAGATCTGCATAGTCATAGAATATTCTGGAATATAATTATTAATGTCTCCATTCTAACCAACAGACTAGCACTTTCATGTTCCTGGGACACTGAATTAAACGTCTTTTGTCTTTATCCTGTGAACCCAGGCTATTTGGCATTGGCATTGGCATTACTCAGAGCACTGAGGAATTGCAAGCTTTTGGCTTCTTTTAAGAGATGACAGTTGCAAATAAAGGTTGAGGCAGCTATTCAAATTTAGTTTAGTTGAAGTCATGCCTTGCTTTGGTTTTCTATTCTTCTTGTTTGAGTCAGACTCCAAGGAATTTTTTTAGAAGTTGCTTTAATTTAAAATATCTATTAAGTGAACTATGTGTTATGTATCAAATCCATAAAAGGAAATCTTGTGGTGACTGCCCAGCAGACTCATGATGTGTTGATCATTATAAGTGACTATATATATATATCCAATTATATACCTTCTCTTTTAGAGTTGTTCATGGAAAGACCATATTTCAATTTATCATTATTGATGTGATCTAAAATCAGCCAATTGGATTATTTGGTTGCAAGGCTGTACAATTTAGAGAACTGTAGTCTATATGATGTTGTGTGTATTCCAACAAATCTTTTTGTAAACATAATGTGCTACAATACTCAAAGAACTCTATATCTTTAGTAATACTTGCTCATCCATGTTCACTGCTGTTGTATTCACAATAACCAGGATATGGAAACAACCCAGATGTCCATTAATTGATTGATAGCTAATGAGAATGTGGTATACACATCTGATGAAGTATTATTCGGCTGTTAAGAAAACTACAATTATGAAATTACCAGGTAAATGAATGAAACAGGAAATAAGCATCCGGAGTAATGTATCCCAGATCCAGGAAAACAAACGAAGCATGTTTTCTTTAATTTTTTATGTTAGCTTTGAATCTTTAGATGTCTATATTTCATTGAAACATCTATAGAGGTCAGGAAACTAGTAAGCAGTTATAGAGGATGGGAGGTTCTTTCAAGTGAGGTAGATATAATGCAGTCATATAAAGGAAGAAAAGGAATAATGAAACAAGAAAATTAAATGGGGTGAGGGACGGGATAATTAACACTTAAGGTCTTTTGGAAAACTGTATGGAAACCCACACAATAGAGGCTTCCGTGTGTGTGTGTGTGTGTGTGTGTGTGTGTGTGTGTGTGTGTGTGTGTGTGTGTAGTTTAAATGGAGTTATCCCATAATAGGACAATACCCCAACTAGACAGCAAATACTAGCAAACAAAGAGCCTTGTACCAAGAAAAAAAGCACCTCCTTTTTAGTAGTTGGCCTGTAGTTGACCACACATTATAAGCTATTGCCATTGCTCTTGGTTACCCTCAGAAACTGGAAGCTAAGATCCTACTATCGAAGATACCACCTTCTTTTTTTAAAATCTTTTTTATTTAAATTAGAAGCAAGCTTGCTCCACATGTCAATCCCAGCTCCCTCTCCCTCCCCTCATCTCCTGCCCCCCAGTACCCCCATCTAATCCCTGCTCTGGCCCCAGGGAGGGTGAGGCCCTCCATGGGGGATTGCCAAAGTCTGTCATTTCATCCAAGGCAAGGCCTAGGGCCTCTCACATGTGTCCAGGCTGAGAGAGCATCCCTTTATGTGGAATGGGCTCCTAAAGTCCCTTTGTACACCAGGGCATAGATGGCCAAGGCCTCCTCACTGACACCAAAATTTAGGGGGTCTGAATCAGTTCCATGCTGACCTCTCAGACATTAGTCTGGGGTCCACGAGCTTCCACTTGTTTAGCTCAGCAATTTCTGTGAGTTTCACCAGTCAGGACCTGACCCCTTTGCTCATCACTCCTCCCTCTCTGCTACTGGGTTCCAGGAGTTCAGTTCAGTGTTTAGCTGTGGGTGTCTG